AACAAAAAACTGTAGAAGCAGTAAAAGGCATCAAAACGGTGAGTTCAAAAACTGAGTAGTGGAAAAAGTGTCTCAATAGGTATATGGCATCAAACGGAGAGTACTTTGAAGGTTCCTGAAGTTTATTTATTTGTATTATTATTATGTTTTTAGTCAGAGGTTCACTCAGTTGCCCAGGCTGAAGGTGCAGTGGCATGCTCACAGCTATCACAGCTTCTACTTGTTGGGCTCAGGTGGTCCTTTCCCTTTTGCCTTTCAAAGTGCTGGAACTACATGCAGGCGCCACCATGCCCAGCTAATTTTTTTATTTATTGTAGAGACGAGGTCTTGCCAAGTTGTCCAGGTTGGTCTTGAATCCCTGCACTCAGGCATTTCTTTCTCCTCAGCCTCCCCAAGTGCTGGAATTACAGATATGAGCCACTGTGCCCAGCTGAAGTTTAAACATGTAAAAAAAAGACACACAATTTTTTAAAAAATTTATTTTGATGTTATTTTAAAGATATGGGGTATAATTCAGGATTAGGTATGCTAGTGGTCATCGTACAATGATGTTTTGGGCCCTCTACCTTCCCTGACAGTGGCATGCTGCTCAGGGCCACCACAGCCTCAACCTGCTGGGTTCAGGTGATCCTTCCACCTCAGCCTTCCAAGTTGCTAGAACTACAGGTGCACATAACCACACCCAGCTAATTTTTGATTTACTGTAGAGATGAGGTCTCACCAAGTTGTCCAGTCTGGTCTTGAACCCATGGGCTCAGGCAATCCTTTCACTTTGGCCTCCCAGAGTGTTGGGATTATAGTTGTGAGCCACCATGCCCAGCCACCATTTTTTAAAAAATCCAGTGCACTTTCAGTGGGTAGCACGGTTGTTTCCATGTTTTTGCTATTGTGTATAGTACTGCAGTAAACATATGTGTGCAGGTATCTTTTTTGTAATGATTTGAATGCCTCTGGGTATATTCCCAGAAGGGGGATTGTTGGGTCTTATGGAAGGTTAATTTTCAGATCTTTTAGAAATCGCCATACTGTTTTTTACAGAGGTTGTACTAATTTACACTCCCACTAACAGTGTATAAGTGTTCCCTTTTCCCCTGCATCCTCTCCAGCTCTGTTGTTTTTTGTGTTATTAATAATGGCTATCCTGGCTGGAGTTAGGTGGTTATCTCCAGTCAGGATGATTTTAATTTGCATTTCTTTGATGATTAGGAAATATACAAGTTTTTATAAATAAATGCAGGGTTTTTTGCATTCCCCTTCATATACACTGTGTGTACATTACAATTTAGAGGACTGAACTCAATTTCCCACTATAGTCAGAGTCTGACAAATTCAACTTTCCAAAAAAGAAAAAAACCATGCAAAACAAGTATAGCTGGAGGTCAAGGGTACAACCCATAGGAGATAATAAACCTTTTGTAATTAAAAAGAATATCAGCCGGGCTTGGTGGCTCAGCCTGTAATCCCATGCCTTTGGGAGGCTGAGGTGAGTGGATTGCCTGAGCCAGCGGGTTCGAGACCCGCCTGGGCAGGCAAAACCTCATCTCTACAATAAATCAAAAAATTAGCCGGGCATGGTAGCCCACATCTGTAATTTCGGCTACTCGGAAGGCTGAGGCGGAAGGATAGCCGGAGCCCAGCAGGTCGAGGCTGCGGTGGCCGGGAGTGGCCACTGCACTCCAGTCTGGGCGACAGAGTGAGACTCCAACTCAAAAAAAAAAGGAGAATATCCAAATACTAATTATAAGCAGGAGGGGTTCTTGCCTTTCTCAGTGAACTCGCCAGGAATGCATTTCATGGCACAGAATAGGAACTAATCTAGCATAAAAAGAGGGCCTTCACTTCGCCTATCTTAGTTTGGGCTGTCATAACAAAATATCATAGATTAGGTGCTTGAGCCATAGAAATTTATTTTCTCAGAGTTTGATGGACTAGAAGTCTGAGATCTGCGTGCCAGCACGGTGGAGGTTCTAGTGACCGAAAGGAGGAGAGGCCCAGGGAGAGAGAAGGGAAGAGAGGGAGGAGGGCAAGATGCTCTCATGAGGACACTCGTCCCACCAGGCCAAGGCCTTGCCCTTATACCTCAACTAACCCTAATCTAATCATCCCCCAAAGGCCCTGTAATCAGACCCAGGTCTGGGTGCTCACTGCTCAAAGCCAAACTCCAGAGAAGAGAATTGGTGGAAGGAAAAACAGGTTTATTGAAGACGCCAGCTTCCTGAGGATATGGCAGACTAATGTCTCAAGTATGCTGTCAGATTTCAGACAGGTCAAAGGGGTTTTTAAAGTGAAAACTGGTATGGAAAACGTGCAGGAGTTGGGTAGGGTGTGGAGCCTACGTGTCCTTGTTCCGATGGCTATCTTAGGTAATTGTCCATCTGGGGGTTTGACTGGTGTCATCTTGGCTGTGGCCAGGCAGTGGATCAGTCGTCTGTGAATCCCCTCAGGTGGGAGCGCTCCTTAAATGAGGCTCAGGCCCAGTATGTTCTAAGATAAACCACCTCAGAGGCCTGATGGCCTGATCGGCAGTATCCAGATAGTGGCTGGGTTGTAGATTAACTGCCTCGAGGCTCTGCCTAACTGGAGAGAGTTCCACAGCTAAGCCTTTATGTCTGGCTTGCTTTAAGATTAGCCCTTGGAATTTCCAAGGAAGCATAGAATTAGACATCATCGCAGAGGGAGAAGAGGAAAAAAAAGTTTAAAGGACAATTTTAAAGCTAAGGAAGAGTGCATAAAATACATTTTAAGGCTAAAATATTCAGTTACTGCCCCACCTCCAAATGTCATCACACTGGGGTGTTAGTGCTTCAATATGCGAATTTGGGCGGGGGGGGGGGGGGGGGGG